CTAATTTTTGCCTTCATTCAGCTGCTTTCTTAAAAAGCTCCACGGCCTCCTAGTCATCAAATCTCAGGCTTCTGACTGGCTTCAATGTCCTCAAAATTTACAAACCACCTAGACCTTGTGCACCAGACCACATTGCTGAAACTCTGGTTGGCTCCTCCCTGGGCGCTGCAATCTCCCACTCGGCACTCTTGCCTCTGTCGGCTCCCCCTTCCCTTCCTGTCGCTAGTTCCTGCAGCAACTCCCATTATAAAACATCCCCAGCTCTCTCCACACCTCTTCCCTTCTCTTTTGTACCTTCCTCTTCCTTACTCTCCAAACGTCCCTGTGCTTTCAGCCACAGCGGTGTGCCGAAAACACACAAGTCTCTCACTAACCCTGAGCTGCAAACCCCTGTTACCAACTGTCTGATTAAAGCCCCTATCTGGATATTCCCAAATACCCTAAATAACGTATGTTGAAGAGGGAGCCTTCTTCTTCCTCCCTCTCCACCTTTTTCTACCACTGTCCCCACGCACCTAAGGTCACGCTGCCCACAGCTCTCCCTCACCACTGTCAGTTGCCGCAGAGTAGTTGGTCCATCTCTTGCTTTGCATCTCAATTATCCTTATTACTTTTTGTGCAAGAGCTTTCTACGTGGTCTGCTTGTCTCTCTTCCTCCAGTGCATTCTACATCCTTTGCCAAATCCATCTGCCTGCTGCCCAGCTCCTAAAAAATGGCTCTCACTCACTTGCTAGGGTTCCCTACTGTACATATGCCTTCAGGGTAGATGCTTCCCACAATACAAAACCTGTTTAACAGCCCATGAAAGTGGGTCCTTCCCTTCCCAACATTCTAGGGCCACACGCACAGCAACTTTCCTGCATCTCCCTCAATGCTCTAACTATTATCTCTAACTAGAATGGCATCTTGATACCTTTACCTTGTTATCTGTCAAAACACCACCTGTTCTTTAAAACTCGTATCAAATGCAATCTCTTCCAAAATGAAGCTTTCCGTGATAAATGCCCTCTCTCACAGGCGCTCTCATTCTCATTCTCTCTCTCTCCCCTTCCACCCCTTCCACTCCTGCCCGCTGCTTCCTTCCCTCTCCTTCTTTGAACTCCCATGGCACTTTGATACGCTTCCAGGAGGTCTCTGATCACAAACTACTTCATGTTACAGTCATCTGGAAGCACCATATTATGGGAAGAAAGCAGGGTCTGGGATCAGAAATTGGGGTGAGAAAGGGCGAATGGATTTGAGTGACTCTCACCTGCTACACCCTATGCTTTTCTGGGTCCTAGACTTCTCGCAACTACTTTCTAACAATGTGACCATCACTCTTTGTATTTTATAAGTGACAAGGTCAGGTTCAGAGAGGTCCCTGATTTGCTTGGAGTCACAAGGCCCAAATTGTATTTGCTTAACAAGAGAATCAACTAATAAAAGACATAAAAAATCAGTTTACAAATGGCAAAACACTGCACACATATTTATTACTAGCATTATAACCTATATTACCCTTTTATAGATTTTTAGTTATTTAGGAATATGTTTTCTATCTTACCCATTTTAGGACTCACTGAAGTATTTATGATAATTATTACAAGGGTTTCAAGGGTTGTTTAATTAAATTGGATTTCATAAAAAATTGGATTTCTGATGCTATGTCCTGAAATTAATAGCATTTGGGAATTTTTATACCAAAATAAAAGTTGCCATTTATTGAGCAGGTACAAGTGTCAGGTGTAGACTATCTTTAATCTCTACAATGCTAGAAGGTTTGCATTACTATCCTCATTTTATATGTGGGGGAAAAAAAGAGTTCAGTGACAGTAAGTAACAGTCATACAGCTAATGAGTCGCAGAGACAGGAGGATTTGATCTCAAAGCTCATGATTTCCCACCGCTATGCACTCTCAACCACAAAGATCCAACTCGCCTAGGTGCCATCACAACCCAACATTAGAAGTGATTCTGCCTTAGAGGTGATTTCTGTCACGAGCACAGAAACATTCTCTTTCTTATACCCATGAGTACTGGGAGCTCCCTCTCAGGTTCCACTCCACACTACCCCATCCTCACAGACACTGGCAAAAACAGCACTCTCTTCCACACAGCTGAACAGATCTCATACATCCTCACAGGTTTAGAGTATCTCTTCTCCCTGCTTCATTCAACAAATACTCACAGACTCCTTCGTGTGCCAGGTACTGTTCCAGACACTGTGAATACAGCAGCAATGAGACATGAGTCCCCTGTTTTTATGAAGCTTTCATTTTAACAGAGTGGAAGAAGACAGGCAATAAGGAACCACATCAAAACAAAGCTATTTTCACCTAGTGTTGTGTTGTGATGTGATGTGATGACAATAGAGAGGGCCAGGGAGGACGGCTTTGAGCATGTGACATCAGGGCAGAGGCCAGGAGGTTTGCCAGACACGGGAAGAGCAAGGGGCCGAGAGCTCCAGGTAGAGGTAACCAAAAAAAGCGCAGCCTCAAGTTAGGAAGCATTCAGTGCACTGGAAAACAGTCAAGGGTACTGGGAGGGAACAAAACTGAGAGCCCAGAAATAAAGCCATTATGTATGTAGGCAAATAATTTTTTTTTTTAATTCTCACCAGAGGACATGATTTTAGAGAGAGAGGAAGGGAAGGAGAAAGTGACAAAGAGAAACATCAATCAACTGCCTCTTGCAAGTGCCCTAAAAGGGGACCAAACCTGCAAACCAGGCATGTGCCCTGATCTGGGAATTGAACCCGCGCCCTTCTAGTCTATGAGACAACACTACCACCAAGTCACACCAGCCAGGGCTGGGGGAAATAATTTTTGACAAAGAAGACAAATACAATGGAGAAAAGAGAGCCTCTTCAATAAATGGTCCTGGGAAAACTGGAATGCCACATGCCAAAGAATGAAACTAGATTACAGTTTGTCCCCATTTATAAAAATTATTTTAAAATGGATCAAACATCTAAATATAAGATCTGAAACAAAAAATTACATAGAAGAAAACAAAGGTACTAAACTATGGACCTTGGTCATAAAGAATATTTTATAAATTTGACCCAAAGGCAAGGAAAGGAAAGGCAAAAATAAATGAATGGGACTATATCAAACTAAAAACCTTCTGCACAGCAAAAGAAACCACCTACAAAACAAAAAGGCAGTGGGAGATTATATTTGCAAACAACAGCTCCAACAAGAGGTTCATGTCCATAGTATATAAAGAGCTCATACAACTCAACACCAAACAAACAAACAATCCAATTTTAAAATGGGCAGAGGACCTCAACAAACACTCCTCCTGAGAACACATACAAATAGCCAACTGATATCCAAAAAAATGCTCAACTTCACTAGCTATTAAAGAAATGCTAATCAAAACTACAATGAGATGCCACCTCATACCTGTTAGAATGGCTATTATCAACAAGACAGGTAATAAGTATTGGAGAGGTTGTGGAGAAAAAAGGAACCCTTATTCACTGCTGGTAGGAATGTAAACTGGTACAGCCACTAAGGAAAACAGTATGGCGGTTCCTCAAAAAATTAAGAATAGAGTTACCATGTGATCCAGCAATCCCTCTCCTGGGTATCTACCCCCAAAAAACTTGAAAACATTTACTCACAAATAAATGCACCTCTATATTCATTGCAGCATTATTTTTTTATTTACTTATTTTCAGAGAGAAGGGAAGGAAGAAAGGGAGAGAAACGTCAATGAGCAAGAGAAACAACAATTGGTTGCCTCTCACATGCCCCCAACTGGGGACCTGGCCTGCAACCCAGGAATGGGCCCTGACCAGGAATCAAACCAGCAATCTTTTGGTTTGCAGGCCAGTGCTCAATCCACTGAGTTACACTGGCCAGGGCTCATTTCAGCATTATTCACGATGACCAAGACCTGGAGACAATCAAATTGTACATCGATAGAAGAGTGGATACAGAAGATGTGGTACATAGACAATGGAATAATACTCAGCCATAGAAAAGATGAAATACTGCCATTTGCCACAACATGGATGGGCTAGAGAATATTATGCTAAGCAAAATAAGTCAGTCAGGAAAAGCTAAGAACCATATGATTTCACTCATGGGGGATATAAACCTGAAACTTACAAACTCAAAAACAGTATGGCGGTTACCAGAGAGAAGGAGGCAGAGGAAAGGGGCCAAATATATGGTGATGGAAGATGATTTGACTTTGGGTGGTGGGCACACAATGCAATATATAGATCATGGATCATAGAAATGTACACTTGAACCTATATAATCTTAGCAACCAACGTCACCCCAATGAATTTAACTTAAAAAAAAAAAAGAACCGCATGATGAACTATCGTAAATACCCATGAGTCTGATAAACTGAGCTTCATGCCCAAGTCACAGGGCACATACTACCTACTGAAGTCCGCCCAATATCAAGGCTCCCCAGGACAGAAAGGTCCATTCATCCTTATTCTACAAACAGTCCTAGAGACCGCCTCTCCTCCTCTGACCTCCGAGTTTAAGCAAGCCAATTGTGGAGTCATGCAAACAGTTCAGAAATCAAGGCAAAGAGAGTTCAGGAGTATCAAGTACCTCATGTCAGCATCTTTCACACCCTCAACAATTCCACAGAATTGGTGCCATCACCACCCAGTATGACAGGAAGAACCCACTGATTCCCCAGTGTCACTTCACTGGCAGTTGGCAGATCCACAATCAAGCCCGGGTCTGCCTGACCCCAATGCCCACACCCCTTCACCCACAGCACGTATGAGGTCCAAAGAGACTTCACCGCAGGGAGAGTAACTGCAGATGTTGCAGTGACTATGAACTGCATGCACTCACTCCCTAAACTTGTCTATGTTTGACTTAACTTCAATTTCCCCCATTTTTTTCAAAATTTTCTCAGTAGAAATACTTTCATTTATCTAGCATATAATTATTGATGCTTCCTTGTTTCAGGCAACCTGCTAGATCCTAGGAAGCCAATGGCGAGGCCACAGTGCCCAGGCACCAAGAATCCAGGGTCGATGCAAACTCGATCCCTAAGTCTGCATGATGCTGCAGAAGGGAAGGGAACCAGGTCTGCTAAAGTCATGGTAGTGACAGAAATGTTTTGGCCTCAGAAGCTCCTGGGGTGGTCCATTCCATTCTAGTACAGTGCAAAAAAGTGAGAAGGAAAGAAAAGAATCCAGGGTCTCATGGGGAAGGCAAAGAAGCAGGAAAGAACGGTGCTTTTTCCCTCCTAGGTCCTTTAAAGCTCGATAAATGCTAAGGTTAAACTGACACTGGAAATTTGGCTGCTATTTTCAAGGACTTCACTGCTTTTGTGCCACACTGGCCTCATTATATAGACAACTTCAGAGGGGCATTCCGTTTTATTATTCTGTAAGAGTACTGTCTAATAAAAAAAAAAGTGTCAGCTTAAAAAATGCGAAGTCTCAGGCAAAGTAAATAACTCTTTTCTATTTTAAGCAGCCTTCAGAGTGTTAGCAGTGGTAATCAGCACCTCACCAGACAGTTATGACCGATTCTAAGTGCCATGTGGGGAACGATAGTAACAGAGAACAATTCTCTGCTGCTAGAAGCGGCACCCTGGGGAGTGTGCTGCAGAAATCACCTCACTGAACTCTCAGCCGACCCCACGGGACTGGTATTGTTAGGCTGCCTCTGTGACAGGTAGAGAAACTGAGGCTCAGGTGGTTAAATGACTTGCACAAAGTTACCCAGAGGTTGTCGGGTGGAACGAGGCCCATGTTCTTGGCCTCTCTTCTGTGAGGCCAGACAGGGCCTTTAAGATGGCCGAGAGGGTCAGAAATAGGAAGCTGGATTAATTGTCCCAGCTTTATTTTGTCTGAAGGGGAGGGACTTTGGGGGGTGATTAATTATCACATATTCAGGATATTTTTTAAATAAATTGAGGCAGCTGCATTCCCTCTCCCCAAGCGTAGGAGAAGCCAAGGCGCTCATCCTCAGCCTGGCCAGCGAAGACGGAGGCGCAGAACGCACACGCAGTGGTGTCCTGCGGAGCCCCGGGGAGCTCTGGGGTCTCCTCTGATTGTCTGCCAACCCACAAATGCCTCTCTTAACCCTGCTTTCTTCAAGGACCATTTCAAATCCCACCTGAGGAGAAATCTTTTTTCTCTGCTTAGCTTCTTTTTTTGAGAACATATATCTTCTCCCCAGCTGAACGGCAACTCTCCAGAGAGAAGGAGCCTTGCCTAAGGGCTCCCTCTCTGACGCATTTCTCTGGAAAATGCAAATTGATAGTGATTCTAAAAGCGATTATCTGCGCAGTCTAAAAAAGTCTACTCTCAATCCTGGTAAACACTAGAATGGCTTTTCCAGATCAATTGCAGAGCTGTGAGTGCGGGCAGTACTGAGGTAAAGGAAAGCCAGGCCAGCCAAAACATTAGTGTAAGTGGTAGCAATGGCAAGACCTGAGCCAGAGCTTGCCCGGAGACTCCCACAGGGGCTTCCAGCCTGAGGAGCTCCAAGAGAACCAAGACAGGAAATTGCTTTTACCCTGAGGGTCCAGGGTCAGGCACATGTCTTAGGTCTCTAACCACTTCAACTGCCTAACCACTTAGAGCCACTCACTAAGACAGGAGGGGTGGGGCACATAGGTGCTCTCTGCTCCCAACCTCCCCACCTTTCTCCTTCAGGTCCACCTGAGCCACAAAGGCCAGCTCCACAGCAGTCGGCTCCTCACCTTCGTCTCCCCATTCTTCCACTGGTGCCCCAGGTCTGGATATGATGTCAGGAAGCACTGGGCTTGGCGCCATACACAGAAAATGACTTTGCTTTTCTCCCTTGATTAAATGTGTTCACCCTGGATTAAGTGACTTACAGCCCCAGTTGTTGCTCTGCTCCCACATGCTCAAGTTTACCAAGGAAGAAGGTGCAAGGGACATATGCATGTGGGATCAGCAATCCAGACAAGAAGAGACCTCAGCGTCCTGGCTTAATGGGCAAAGCTTGGGTTCAGCTGCAGAGTGAGCTGGCCCATCCTGTGCCCACAATTCCACAGCTGGGTGCATGAGTGCGCCTATGGTCTGAAGCCCAAGATTTTCACACCAGATAGCCAATGCCTTGAGGGAAGCAACAGACTTCCCGGCTTCCCCTCAGATGGCAGATAAGCCCCTGTTAAGGGACCGGCTCCCTTTACTGTACTTCCTTAATTAAAGAAGCCTCACAAGAGTGCACCAGAAGGCCCCAAAAGGGTGACTTTAGGCTAATCCGCCCTCAGTGGGTCTGAAAAGCAGCTGTTACTGTCATTGCACATCTCAGTTTTCTCAGCTTCAAGTTTTCCTGAGCACCAAGCCCTTCCTGCAGGAAAGCACCAGTTCAAAACACCACTCTCCGCGGGGAATTCCAAAGGATCGATGAGGTTATTTACCTCGCTTCCCTCAGTCTCCACTTTGGTAGCCATCTGCTTCCCTCTAAGCACTTATACATTCACTCATCCCTATTTTTTTGCTGAATTATTTAAACATCAATATATTGGCTAAATTTTCCTCGCAGAATTTATTGGTTGGCGAAGAGGCAACATCTCCCTCTCTCTCTCTCTCCTCACCTCCGTCTCTCCTCCAGCCCAGGGCCAAGTCTTGCTCCTTCTCCCCTCCACCCCAGGGAAGCCCCTCTTCCCACCTCGCTGACCCTGGCTCCCGCTATCCCCTCTCACAGGCGGCGGCGCCAATCCTTCCTCCCTTAGCTAAAAACATGCCCACATTCTTGCTGTTCTACGAAACAAAGAACATCCCATCCACCTTGTTTCTACCTCCTCTTATTGGGCTCTCATCACACACCAAGCTTCTCGGAAAAAAGCAGAACAGACTCCGTGCCTCCTTCCAGTACCAGCACCTCCCCTTCCTCTTCTTTCTGAACACTGGCCTTACCTGTGATAAAGCCTCCATCCCCGTGCCCTCTATAAGCCCTTGGTCCCCAGCTCAGAGTTGTGGCCGCCATCACAATCTCTGCCACAGCCATGTGCCATCCACAAACCTTTAATTTAGCATTTTCCTTTCTTTTTTCTTTTTTAATAATTTATTTTATTTTATTTTTTATATCGCCATTTATCACCATTACACCCTCTTCTACCTTCACCCACTCCCCTCCCAACAATCACCACACTGCTGCCATGTCCACGTAGCAGTGTCCTTTAAATCAATTCATTTTTCCTTAAATACACTTTCCAAGACACCTGCATATTACTATTATATATTTTAAAAGTCACATATTATAAATAGAAGGCAGTAAAAATAAATACAATGAAACCAAAGCAGTATTAATGAAATCTACTTAGATACCATTGCCCACCCGGGGCTCCAAACCTAAGACCACATCTTTCTTTTCGTTAAAAGGAAAATTCCAAAGTATTAGAGATTAAAGACTAGCACCAAACTGAGGCTTTCTCTGGCAGAATAACAAGGGCTGAAAAAGGAATGAAGAGAAAATAACTTTTCATTATGTGATTCTATGTTATCTAAAGCCATGGCTGCGTACTGCCTAAAATTATCAACTATGAACATAATTTTCTAACTAAATACAAGGATTAGTTCTCATACCCCTATGGTTCTCTTCAGGGGACTTACAACTGTGACTTCTTTGATGTCTAACCATCTCTCTCCTCCATCCTACATGTCCTCAGAAAATGAGATTATAAATATAAATTGAAAAACGATAGACAAAAAAAAAATACGCAAAACATCATAAGTTGTGCAGAACATCAGCAGTCCATCCAAACTAGAGCACAAATCCACCCCAGATGGAGTTCTCCACCAGGGCCAGCGACTGGGATGAGTCCAGAGGCTGCCCAGGACAGTATCTCTGCAGACAGCTGTACACAATATGGCAGCCAACATCTGAAAGGTTTTACACCCCAAAGGCTGCACCACACACTTCACAGACATGCTCTTCAATCTGCACAGTCTTACCAGGTTGGTGCCATTACTGTGCCCAATGTGGGGAGACCGACATCTAGAGAAGGTAAAGGGCCTGCCACGGATTCCCAGTGAGCAGCAGATCCAGGGTTTGCACCAAGTTTGTCTGACTCCAAAGCCCATGCTCCTGACTCTTCTGCTCCCCCGATGCCCAGGCACAGAGCAATTTTAAACCTCACAAACCTCAAAATAATAGCCTGCTGCTTTAAGCACAATTAAGACAATGGGCTGACACAACAGGAAAACCATTCAATATGTAATTAAGCATAATTACTGGTGTCCTCTAATTGTTTGGGAAAATAAGTTTCTCTCAGCTGACAAGCTACAATTCTGGTGTGTGCTGAGAGAATGTTCAAGTCTTCATTTCAACCTATACATCTCCAGCACATGCATGAGTTATTGGTCAAATTTCATGGTGAGCACTAGGGTGGCTCAAAGATATCTTCAATATGTAATTTAGAATCCAATAAACTAGGGCTTGGGGGCATTTTAGCAATCCTACCCAATCCTACATTTTAAAGATGGGAAATGAGGACCCAGAGCAGTAACTTCCCAAGGACATGCAAGTCTCTGCCTTCTACCCAAGGGCTCGGCATCCCTTACTGATTAGACAGGTTAAGATCAGACCACCCAAAGCTGAAAACCTGGCTTTACCACTTGGCAGCTGTGTGACCTTAGACAAGTTACTTAACCTCCCTGAGCTCGAGCCAGGAAGATAACTGTAACTATTGCATAGAGTTTTGTGAGGATTAAATGAGCTAATATAGATAAACACTTAGAACACTACCTGGGCATTTGGCATCTTATTGAAACATGAGCCATTAACACTATTATTTGAACAGAAAGCTTCACATCCATGTAAGTACTTCAAGGTTCTAACCAGGGCTGCTAAGAACAGTGATGTGGATGTGTTCTTATCTGCCTAGAGCCTGTTAGAGTTCATCTCCAATGCCTGCACAGAGCTCAAACAATAACGCCCTAGGAGGTTAGCCCAGGAGGAAGAAAGAAGGGCACAAAAATGTAGTGCCTTGTACTGTGCTACTTAAACTCTGCAGGAATGAGCTTCAGTGTCAGCAGCTATGCTCTTGGAGGTAGACTTGTTTATTTGGAAAGCCAAGGGTCCAGAAGAGCAAACTCAAAAAAAAAAAAAAAAAAAAGCAATAGGAACAAATATTTATTGAGCACGTACTTAGTAAACAGCATTAGACACTGGGTGAGATA